TCTCAGACAGCAAGGAGATACAGTTCTCAACGGAAGGCTCTTACAACCTTCGTAACCAAGCGTGCACAGTATCTAGGAAAAGCTGTAAGACAGCACTCCGTGCAAACTTCTTCATAGTCATGTATTCTAGAATCTGGAACAGTTTACCCCTAGAAATAAGGACCTGTCACTCTATTATAACCTTCAAACGCTTGCTATATAAACTGTTTCATCCCAATGACTATGCCATTCACACCGCACCCCTTATTTCTAAAACGCATGAGCTATTAGAACACTATAACGTTTAGACTCATTACTAAATATTATGACATTAAATAAACTTTAAGACTTCGCAATAACACATGAAAAAACAACTAGATTATGGGTAATATTTACTATACAAAGATATACATTTATAAACATTTATATATACATAAAATATTAATGTTCTTTTCATGTTCACATACTTTCAATTTCTGGGATATCACTACTTAGCCTGCACTCCTATATACCTCCTGGTCGAGGTCGAACAACCCAACATCTAAACTGAAATGACCATTTAAGTAAATTCAAACTGAAAATCCATGAACGATCCGATGCTACCATTTGAAAACACTGGCCGACATTCTGCACAAGGAGTATTCTTGATCTGAAATAAAGAAGCAACTGGTTTTCAAACAGTTTTCAATGTATTACTCAACTTACATGTACAGTCTGCCATGCTGACACAAATGGGGCCAATGGGTAGTTCTAGAATCGACCTCGGCCCCATTCCATGCAGTAAAACAATCTAACATGACATTATATAGTTTTCGTATCAACGATCAAATTTCTTTCCTATTATAAAACTACGATTAGACTGCTGAAAAAATGGAATAAATACATCACTGACCTCAAAATAATACATCAATAAACTTTAAATCAAGGATGCTGTTCACAACAAAGTTATATAGGAGAATTGACCTCAAGCTTTATTTTTCCCAGATATTTGCATTACATTCATCTGATGTCTGGGTTTTTGTTAATGCGAAGACAATATTTCTATATCTCTTTATGTGTTACACAGACAGACTATTTTGCAGACTGTTCCGACTGACTCTAATGTCAGAAAGAACAAATAAACTGTAAACTCAACATACATCGAAACATGTGTAATTTATATAATAACTTATCCATGCCTGTATAATTGGTATGTTCCTGCATAAACAGGAATAAATATACATACTTTTCTGATCCAGGATGTCGTTTACTACTCAAGCAGTTCAGGGGAGTTTAATATCCGAACTTTATGTGTCTGCAGCAGCAGACCTGTATGTAGTTGTTAAGTCACTGTACGTAGTGTTCTGCGGGCCTATTTATTCTCTTTGGTTTGTGTTTTTACTAGGATTTGAAGAAGATTTGGAGTCAGATGCTCAGTTTGGACTATTGGCATTTCGGATAGAGCTTAATCTCTGAAATAAAAGAGAATAATCATGGTGTCTTTAAGGTCCGTTTTAGATTATCGGAGATTTAAACTGTCTAGTGCTTCTTACAATCGACAGTCTATACGGTTGAAAATATTGAAATGGAGCATAAAGATACTCCATACAAATAATATAAATGCAAAGATGCGATAACAGTAGCACTTAAGTCGGCACTAATTATAACGGACAATTCTAACCGGAAGAGTTATATTTTATGAAAGAACAGGACTAAACGTGTGAAGCTATCCGTGAGAGACCAATTAAAAAGCCACCTATGGAGTAGAAGAGAATTGATGAATACCACATGAAAATGTAACATAGCCTTCGAATTACCGTTCTTTTGACTTCTGGTGTTCCTTACGATGAAAATGCTGGCAAAATTATTTTATTCACATAAATTAGGCGTATACATGATTGACATATCGTTTGTACAGGTGTGATCATATCTGGCAAGTGCAATTTGAAATGGAACACTGTTCTACGACACTAAAAACTGAAAAGATGGAAAAGAGACTAGAAACTTTATAAGAAGTTTGTAACGTTTACTTTTGATCGAAAAAGCTACTCACATTGCACTGGGTGAGCAAACGACACATATGTTGATGCCTGTAAAAATGGCTGGTTTCTGCTCCAGAAATAAATTTATTATTATTAATTAGTGGTAGGATTGCTTCTACAAACTCAGCACCTGGTCCTGACATAAACCTCTTCACTTCACCTAATGTACGTGTCACAAAACTGCAGATATCAAGTCCAGCTTCAACACTTACTTCAGAAATAGAACAACTTAAGCTGTCTGTAGAAGAACTGAAGACTGAGACGTTGGATTTAAGGTGTAGTGAGGGTATGAACGCAGGATGTTCAGAAAATTTGGCCAACTTATCTGAACTTTCAGCACAGATTAGTGACATTAAATCGCAGGTCTGTGAACTTGCCCCTCTGAACATCCTGACCAGGACCATAAACCCTGGTGAACTTAACACAGAATCAGTAACTAAGGCAGACACCTTGCTAAACTTCGCCACAACAGAGGCTATCAAAAGACCTGATACCAAACTAAGTGTGATAGTCTATAATATACCAAGACATATAAGTGAACAATATTATTTTCAATTAGATCTTATTGAGGCTTTACTCTTATTTACATAGATTTATATATAAAATTTCAACCAATGACGGTGATTTTGGGAATCAAATAATAATAATGTGGTAAATGTTTTGAACGAAATTAATAACGATGATTATGATTATAACAAAATATTGATAATAAGGTTTATGCAGGTGACAAGAATAACAAAGATAGTATATGTATATAAGTGTATAAATAAATTAAATTATATTATATGTAAATTAGAGTAAAGCCTGAAGAAGATCTGATTGAAAACCACATTGTTCGCTTATATGTCTTGTTATAATATTATAAATTGGAATATTTAAAGATTTATAATATACCAGATAATGAGTGGTTGAAAAAGGTTCAAAGCATCTTGCTTAGGGAGGCGAAAATGCCTAACTCCCAAACAAAATGTCACAGACTGAAGACGCGTCAGCAGTCAGAGAGAGCGTGAAGATTTGACACGAAGTTATGCACAGAGACACAGTCTGATCAATGTCATTCACGAAACGTCACTGCGCTGGAATTTCGCCAATAAATGCCTAGGCCCCATCCCGCCCCGTCTGCACACATGGTCCAGCATTACCAGAGCCAGTCTTCTCATATGACAGTTAAGACCAACCCTTGTACTTCGACGAATGTATGTATCGACAGTACTGTGTGAAACAAGCCGACGGCAATTTTCACTTGTATTATTATTATTATTATCATCATCACCACCTTAGCTGCTATCATTATTATTATTTCCATTTTATATGCTGCATGTTTTTTATTTTTTTATTTTTTTTCATATTAACCCTATTGTAAATGTAGAAAAATTTTCTATGTGAATAATTTATTTATAATTTGAGGAAATTAGATGCAATATTGTGATTAATGCTGAAAATTCCATTCTGTATCACAAGTACTGTTTTTGGAATGAAGTAAATCATTATTATTATTATTATTATAAAGCGCACTGATGTCTGGGCTAGAACATTTTGCTAAACCTATGATTCATGTAGAAACTGCCAGTTTATTCCGCAGGTATAAATGTCACTTCTGAAGACTTTAGACTGACAGGTTGTTTTTAGAGAACATATTCGTTTACCAAAGCATAGTTTTATAATGCAGCATTCAATCCGAGGAATAATGACGATCTCATTCCATTCTTGAAAAACTGACGACAAATTTCTTCACTGTCAACTGGAAATCTAGACACAAATAGTCTCACTTGTGATTCTTCGCTTAGGCGGATATTAAAGTATCAAACTTATAACTCGGCAATCCCACCAAGTTGAGGTTTTGTAAGACGATGGCTGAAGATTGATTGCGACAGACACTAAGTGGCCTTGAGTGAACAATCTGAAGAAAGCACTCTGAAAACCCTTGAGTTCATCAGCAAATTGTGTATTGAAATGATTGGAATACCCCCTAACCCTAACACCTCATACGACAATTAATCCTATCTCTGAACGTTTAAAGTAGACAAATCGGACGAGCAGAAAGCTTCGAAGCAGAACTCGTTGTATATTGGATAGACTAAAGTACAGCTACCCAAACTAACAACCAGCCAAATGACACGGAACAAATCAGACATGGATAATGGTATAACGTGATATAATACTGCAGAAAGAACTTGTGTATAGGGTCTGTGATCATGGTGCAAGCTTAAAAATACCAATCATGCAACGTCTTATGATCGGTGCGACAACGTTCTACATGGATGAATGGAGTGGTTAGAGACTGTTACCATCCAGCCTTATTATCAAATGCAAAACGCTCTTCTCTTTCTGTTGATTCGTTGCACGGGACACGCATCAATTCCATGGAATGATTCTGCTGGAATTTGAAAGGTTAACTGTTTTGAAATACAGTCATCTCTGTGAAATAATGTGAAGTAATTAGTTGGGAGTAACAGTAAAATGCACGGTGACGACTTGGAAAGCATTTCTTGAACACACCCTGTTTTACCACCCTGTGTAATTTTTTACTACGCCTTTCACTATCCATACATCCTTCCGCCTAAAGTATGTATTTTCACTATGTGACCATCTAATTATTTGTTCATGCAGAAATGCAAGGTTTGTGTCTCAACGGCTTATCCTCTTAAAATTTGAAACCACACTGTCAATGGATAAGCATACAAACTAAATCCTCACGACCCGTCCTGTCTTCGCCTACTGTACCGACTACTCTATCTTTTCCTTAGGTCACCTTTATTTTTTCACTTATCTCAACCCATATTATCTACACTACAACCTATTATTATTATTACTATTCTGCTTTTATGACTACACCGAATGACCGACGGGAGTTAGGTCAAACTCCACTCGCGGCAGCAGCTGAGTCCTAACATACTGCACACTACAAACCACAATCTTGACCAATCCTCGCACCGCTCCTCTTGGAGTCTACCAGAGCTAAAGCAGTCGAGTGGCGGGACTTACTACGCATAAGTTCACCGAAGATCTGGAACCTCTACCTTACAATCAAGAAGCGAGCTCAAAGAAATCACTGGTTTATACTAGCTCGTAATCAGGATATTGGATATATTTTGTGTCGCCGTACTTTGTCTCGTCCTTGCATTCATAACAAGTGGGGCGACTGTTTTCTCGTTTTCATTAGATTTCCACTATCTTCACCCAACGATGATGTCCAGTGAGAGTATGAGGTAAGCTTCAGTTGCATTCATGTTGCTTAAACCATAATGCTACCATATACAACCGAGGCACCGGGTAATTTGGCGCTGAAGGTCATGTACGGTTTGGGATCTACCCCTCCTAAACATGATCCATCAGCCTCAATGGAACCTTACGATCTCGGAAGAGATGGAGATCTGGGTGCTCTCAGTAATGCCCAACAAAGGGCGACAAATAAACTCAAGGTTTACACAGACAAACTTTCTAACTTGTTAGACTCAAACACGGCTAAGTAATGAACAGTACTTGCAGCAACATCCGGAAGTGAAGTATATGGTGACAGCATTTTTAAGGTATGGAATATAAATGTTTGTTGTATTTTGCAGGGATAAATGGATTAAACAGCCTGAAAATGCCCGGGAACACTTCGCTGGTAAGTGGATTAAAAATATGCATTTTCAGACTTTTTCACCAGCCCAGATCTTTTAAAAAACATCAAGACAGTGAGAAAGGAGTATGCGGATATGTACCAGGATGATGGCGTCATACGTTCTCTTGCTAAAGAAGATCTTGATTCGGAGGTTTAATCGTATAGTTTCTCAAAAACAAGAGAATTTCATATAACTTGAATCTAGGAGTTCCGCGAATATGATTGTAATTATGATCTGCGTTAATCTCAAATATACCCTGGAGGAGGGTCAGTTGTATTGAGTTACACCTTTCCCCACAACGCTATATTGTCGTCAAACTGCAAAGCTTTCAAGTGTAATTAATGTTACAAAGGATAATTTGGTCAGTATTTCACTAATATGTTGGGCAAAGTGTTGAGATGTTATATTTCATGAAAATAAAATTGATTCAGTTTCAATCTTTTTCTCTCAAGAGCGTTTAACCTGGCACATACAACACTTATGGCATATTCATCTGGTGCAGCCTACTTCGAAATTTTCTAGTATGTATTGTGTTCCTCAGTGTAGCTGATGACGGTATAAATTGGTTTGCACCTGATGGAGTTCCCGCTGTTATCCTTAAGAAGTGTGCCGACATCTTATGTTCCCCACTAACTGACATTTTCAACGAATCTTTCTCCAAAAGTATTATACCTGACTCATGGAAAAATATCAAGGCTGTTCCATTGCCTAAATCAACAAGTGGACCTTCTGTCAAGTTTAGACCCATTGCTATTACCTCACCTTTTTTGAAAGTTATGGAAAGACTTATTTTACTTAATCTTGAACTCTCCTTAAAGCCTTTCAATGACCCTAACCAGTTTGCTTATAAACATAGTAGATGCATCTTAGATGCCGCTGTTGTTCTATATCATAATATAGTCTCTAGTTTACATAGAGGAGCTAAATACGTTAGGTGTGCCTTCCTCGATTAAACATCTGCATTTGACTCTGTACCTAGGTCCCTCTTGCTAAGTAAGCTTGCTGCAACACAGGCTGAAAGCTGGACAAATAAGTGGTTACATTCCTATTTTTTTGATAGGAAGCAGTACTGCTGCTGCTACTGTTCCCTTGGGTTCCTAGTGGAACATAGGGCTTCAACTGCACGTCTCCACTTGCTTCTGTCTTCTGCTGTACTTTTCACCTGCATCCATGTTAGTCCATACTGTTTCAACTCTTCTTCACACGATCTCCTCCATGTCAGGCAGAAATTACCCTGCTACACTCCTATATCCTCACCCTTCTCGTCTCCCCATATATCCTGTCTATTTCTAAGGAAATCCTCAGTCGAACATTCTACATTGAGAAGTTACAACAATCTGGAATCACTCAACCTCAACTTTTACAGTTTGTTGACTTCTCCATCTTACCAATTACTCTTCATTGCTTCCCACAACCACACTGTAGTCTTTCCTGCACTACCTACTCAAAAAGGAGTATGTCCTATTACGCTGGGTATTCCCAACAGGTTGAAGACTCTCATCAACAGCTGCCTTAGCTCCATACTGAAGATCAAATGGCCAGAAAAGTTATCAACGAGAATCTCTGGCTGGCAACAAACCAACCAAGAGCCCATCGCTCAACAAATATGTAGGAGATGGTGGAGGTGGATCGGGCGTACATCGAGGAAGCTGCCGAACGACACCACACGCCAGGCCATCGCTCGAGTGGAATCTCAATGGGAAGCGACGAGTGGGTAGTCAGTGTGAGGGTGACTTGGAGGAGATCGTGTGAGGAAGAGATGAGAGAGCTTGGTCAAACGTGGACCCAGCTGAAGAGGACGGCAGAAAACAGAACAGAGTAGAGATGTGTTGTTGAAGCCCTATGTTCCACTTGGAACGCAAGTGAATAATAATATAAATAGTAAAAATGCTGTGTATTCACTAGCCGAGCAATACTTAGTTCAAGAAATAAGGATAGACTGTCCTGTTTCGCCTCTTCTATGTGTACTTAGCAGTTTAACTGCCCGTGTGGAGCTAGTTATATAGAGCGTACGACCAGGCAAGTTCATAGTCGAATTTCTGAACACCTGGCATCTTGGTTTGGCAAAAGTCAGAATAGAGGCTATACGCAGCTTAAATCTTGGGCTACCAAATACCTTAAACATTATGAATCATATTGTATCGAATTGCTCATTTCCAACTCATCTTAAATAATTAAATCTTATTCAAACATGACGTCTAATCGGATTATTTATTCTCGTGTGTATTTAATATCCTTAAAACCTACTGATCAGAATTATCATAAAAAAGACAAAGAAAGCATCATGCCGGGTGGCAAAGAGCCTTAAAAATACCCATATTCAATTTATCACTGTTCCTGCAATTATGAGTACTAATTGTCGCTCCCTGCCAGGTAAAATAAACTGTCTTCAATCACTCGTGTCTTCCATTATATATCGTAATACTGGGATCATATCACTTCAAGAAACATGGCTACATGATGACAATCTAGTGTATCTGAATGATTTCAAATTATTCAGACAAGATCGGTGTAGTTCTAGGAAGAAACGTGGTGGCGGTGTTGCCATCTTCATCAATTCACAATGGTGTACATCTAATAAAGTATGTTTCAAATTCTCTAGTGACAATATTGACTGCCTCACCGTTAAATGTCGGCCTAAGCATTTGTCAAAATATAACTACATATACATCTCGAACATTTATATTGCTCCTGGATGCAATTCCACAGAATTGTCTTTATTTGCGGATGAATTTACCTCCCTTGCTGCCACCTCCTTCGGAAACTCCTTGTTTATAGTTACTGGAGATTTCAATTCTAGTGATCACAGCCTCCTTATTTCACTTGGACATGATAACATTGTCAACTTCTCGACTCGACTGGATAATACTCTTGATCTTGTGTTTACAAATGACACAGGAATATTTGAAGCTCGAGAAAGAACCCCACTACTTAATTCTGATCACTGTATCATAAGAATATTGCCCAAAGTATGTGGAAAGCAGCACAAAAGGGTCTTCTCATACCTTGGAAAGAAAACACAACACAGATGTTATTCTCATGACAACATACAGAATCTAAGGACAATGTTAAAAGACACAAACTGGGACCTGTTTACTGAACAGGCTCTTGACAACACAATTACTAGCATAACACATTATCTTAATTTCTGCCTTGATGTTTGTTTTCCAAAAGACACAATCTTCTTAAAATTTGACCGCTTCTCCTCTTGTCAACTCGAAAAGCTTCGCCGTGAAAAAGAGAGGTTGTACAAAATGAAAAATAAATCTGGTGTTAAGAGAATGAACACTTTGATTAAAGCTGCTCTCTATAACCAGAAGTTTCTCTCATGCAAATCTTCATCCAATATGTGGAAGTTATTGAAGGATATCACAGATAGTAAGCAAATAATGAATGATACTTATGTTGATGTTGATATGCTCAATAAATTCTTCATGTGTATCCCTGCAGGTGTTATGATTCCTGACTCTAATAGTGTAAATAATGACTGCTTCTCATGCTTTAATACGAATGATGTTCCTAAGTATCTTCACAAAAGCTATCAATAATTTGAAACGAGGCAAAGCGGCAGGACCCGACGGAATTATTCCGGAGGTGTTTAAATATGGGGGTGACATACTAGTATATAGTTTAACTAAGGTACTAGGTAACGTCTGGGAATCAGAGACGGTTCCATCGGATTGGGGTAAGTCACTTATTATACCAATATTCAAGAAGGGAGACAAGTCCTCATGTGATAATCATAGAGGAACCAGCCTAACGAACATAGTCTCTAAAATCCTAGGCTCAGTAATCATGCACAGACTAAGCCGAACTCGGGAGGAACAAACGAGGGAAAATCAAGCGGGCTTTAGGCCAGGTAGAGGGTGCATAGATCATATCTTCACTCTCCGACAGATCCTAGAACATAGACACACTTTTAGGCGTCCAACAATTGCCATATTTCTTGACTTGAAGGCGGCCTTCGACTCCGTGGATAGAGAGGTGCTATGGCAATGTTTGACTGTGAAGGGAGTGCCAAGAAAGTACATTGCACTAATCAAGGCACTCTACTCAAACTCACGTAGCCATGTAAGGGCTTATGGGGAATTGTCATCTGAATTGATAACAACCAGTGGTGTCCGTCAAGGATGTCCACTTTCCCCTTTTCCGTTTAACTTCATCATAGATATGCTAATGGAAGTATCCTTAACTGAACTTAACCACTTAGGAATCGACTTGTTACCAGGGAATAGTCTTATGGACTTAGAATATGCAGACGACATAGTCCTGTTAGGGGAGGATGCTGACAAAATGCAGAGTCTTCTGAACACCTTGAGCAGCAATCTTCGTATGTTTGGCATGCGATTCGCCCCTGTAAAATGCTGCTACAGGACTGGACTACGTCAACTCCTAGCTTCGTGATAGGGAGTGAAGTGATAGAACATGTTGACCACTTCACCTATTTGGGAAGTTGTATCAGCACCAACGGATTGATTGGTGACGAAATCTCAGCACGGATCCAAAAAGCTCGGGCTGCTTTCGCTAACTGCTGCGCATTCCTAGCCATCGCCTCCCACGACGGGCATTACTACCTGATATAGATGCAGGTTGGAAAAGAGTAAGTGGTGGCCAAACAAAAACATGGCATCAATCCATGAAATCCCTGACAGTTAAACTGAGTCAGGTAGGGAGATGCAGACTTCCGGGACTCTAAGAATCAATGGCTGGAGACAATAGGTGACATGGCTCAAAATCGTTGTCAATGGCGCACATGTATTCAGTCTCTGTAAACTTTCATATTCCTTTCTACCATTACTCATTCTGTTTCACTCTTACACTTGTCAAAACTCTATTGATTCTCTTCACTCATTTTCTTGTCTACCTTTGTGACCTCTTTGGAACGTGGCAACTCGAACTGCTGCACTTCGGTGCCAAGTTCTATGTTGAATCAAGCCAGTCAGCAGCCTAAGTATCTTCAATCTCTCAAACCTACTCAGTCCCTTGGTCCTGGTGGAGTTCCCGCTGTTATCCTTAAGAAGTGTGCCGACATCTTATGTTCCCCACTAACTGACATTTTCAACGAATCTTTCTCCAAAAGTATTATACCTGACTCATGGAAAAATATCAAGGCTGTTCCATTGCCTAAATCAACAAGTGGACCTTCTGTCAAGTTTAGACCCATTGCTATTACCTCACCTTTTTTGAAAGTTATGGAAAGACTTATTTTACTTAATCTTGAACTCTCCTTAAAGCCTTTCAATGACCCTAACCAGTTTGCTTATAAACATAGTAGATGCATCTTAGATGCCGCTGTTGTTCTATATCATAATATAGTCTCTAGTTTACATAGAGGAGCTAAATACGTTAGGTGTGCCTTCCTCGATTAAACATCTGCATTTGACTCTGTACCTAGGTCCCTCTTGCTAAGTAAGCTTGCTGCAACACAGGCTGAAAGCTGGACAAATAAGTGGTTACATTCCTATTTTTTTGATAGGAAGCAGTACTGCTGCTGCTACTGTTCCCTTGGGTTCCTAGTGGAACA